ACACCTAACAGCGGGCTGCTGTGCTTGTCAGTGCGAGAAGAATCTCCTTCGTATTGTCATCTGCAGGCTTGATGAGGGAGGGGGAGAGGGACCAGACACACCATTGTTATTTAGTCTCCTCTTCTGTGCTATGCCATGGGATGAGGTCGTCAGTCATTCCCCGCTACCTTTGAGCTGCCATGTGGGAGAGTGTGGATGTGGAACATTTCTGTGGTCACAGAAAGTTCTCTAGGGCAGCTTGTTCTGCTTAATATTTTAATATGGTCATGTGTGATAAACATAGTCATAAATCAGTTGTGTGCCTGTGGTTTTATAGGACATAGATACTGAACATTATTTTACTGTGGTATAAAACACGTTAACTTGTACTCTTTCTTCCCTGGTAAACAAATTAGCCCAGCAATTAAACTCTTGATTCTCTGTGACAGCCAGTGGTGGAAACTTCTGAGGTTAAAGAAAAGTTTTCAGGAGACTCAGAAGGTGTGGTTCTCAAGTATTCATCAATCATTTTTTAAAGTTTTTTTTTTATTTTTTAAATTTCTTTTCAGTGTTCCAGAATTCATTGTTTATGCATCACACCCAGGGCTCCATGCAGTACATGCCCTTCATAATACCCACCACCACCGGTATTTATCAGTCTTATTGTTTTGATTAGGCTGTAAGTCCATCATCTAAAACACATTTAAAAAATGGAAACTATGCATATTATGCCAGTTTCTCAGAAAGCCAAAGCAAATAATATATATACTTATTTATAAAGATTTATCAATTAGAGAGAGAGAGAGCACATATGCATGCAAATAGGGAAGAGGCCAAGGGGAGAGAGACTCTGTCCCTGCTGAGCGTGGAGCCCGACGCAGGGCTCCATCCCACCACCCTGAGATCACCACCTGAGGTGAAACCAAGAGTCAGATGCTTAACTGACTGAGTCACCCAGGTGTCCCAATATCTATCCTTTTAAAAAAGGGACTTTTCCTCAATATATTATGACTATTGTTAGTGATTTCTGTAATTCCCTGAATCAAGAAGGGAGAATAAGGGAAGGGGGGAGACCTAAGTATGCTAACTGGACAAAGTGAGTGAGAAAAACTAAAGATAATGACAGAAGCACGATGCTAAGGAAAGCCTAGGGACATTTGAAATGAACACAGTGACTCACACTTCGAGGGGCCTGACTACTGGCTGTGCTTTTGACTTCGGGGAGTGGGGGAGGGAGTGAAAAGAATGTACTTTACTTTGTAAGATCATTACGTTATTAGAGTCAGCCTCCTGGCTTATGATAAAATAATAATAAATGACAAATAAAAAATGACTGACAGCTGTGGTGGAGGGAAGAACGAACAGTCAGCAGGTGTGTGGGAACATCTTTTAAGTCATGTTCAGAAACATGAGCAGTTTTGCTTGCTGTCCACCAAGCCCTGCACGGTGAGGTGAATCCTTCCTCCAGACATTTTTTTTTTTTTTCCTGAGAAACCGTTTCACAAAAGGTTCCACATTAGGAAAGGTTCTGAGGTCAGATAAAGTCTGCCACGCGCTGTGCGTTTGTCGCAGGGTCACAGCCACACTGAATGTCCCGCCCTGAGAGGGCTTGCTCGCCTAGCTTAATGAAGCCTCACCCAAAATGACTGGGCTGAGGAATCCCAGGTATCGGGGCTTGACACCTTTTCACGGCTTGCAAACCGTGATCGTGTTCTGGAAGAGACACTTAAAATATGCTTAATTAGCCTCTGAGCAGAAAAACGGAAGCAGCCAAACCCCTCAAAGAGCTCTACGGCTTTATAGGAAAAAGTCCATATTTTTAGGACGTTGAAGGATCCAGGGATGAGTAGCATGATGTCTGCAAGTCAACGACAAATGACTCAGCTGAGCACACAGATGTGTCGTATATGTGTATGCACACACACGCGCGTCCACACACACGGAGAGGGAGCGCACTCAAAATACAGGAAAATGTTCACAACTGGTGGGCGCCTGGGTGGCTCCGTTGGTTAAGCGTCTGCCTTTGGCTCAGGTCGTGATCCCAAGGTCCTGGGATTGAGCTCTGCATCGGGCTCCTTGCTCAGCAGAGAGCCTGCTTCTCCCCTGCCTGCCATTCCCCTTGCTTGTGCTCTCTCTGTCTCTCTTGCTTGCTCTCTTTCTGTCAAATAAATAAGTAAAATCTTTAAAAAAAATGTTCACAGTGGGTGAACTCTACAGTAAAGGACGTAATGTGTAATACTTTTGACATATTTCTCGAGTTCTGAAGACATATTCTATAAAAAAAAGGGAAGTATTATAAGCCCAAGCACAAGCTGCACTGGTTATGCTGGACATGAAGGGCTAACCCTGTGGAAGAGTTGATTAGGCAAGAAAAAGGATTTTAAGATCCAGACAGAAGTAAAGGGAGCGGAAGGCTCACGTTCTTGACCAGAGACAGTGATGCAGCTGGAGAAAAGCGTTCGGGGCATCTTCTCATCGCCCTTCCATTCCTTTAGGAGTTAGGGCTCCAATTTCAAAAGTCTGAACCTCAGACCATCAGGCAGGCTAATGGGAATATTGCCCAGAAAACTCGTCAGGGTGGTGCTCTCACTCCCGTCCCGGGCACTCCAGACCTCAGCGTGGCACAGTGACACAGCCAAATTAGTGGGGAAACCGTCCTGAACAGGGGGTCTCAGGATGGACCTGAAAGCCCCGACTTCTTGACCCAGTAATGCCAACAGCTTGAATTTGCCGTGGCCGGGGCTGGCCCGACCTTGATCTTCCTTAGACGGACTACTGATCCCCAGCGCGCAGCTGGCTCTGCGAGGCGACGTGCACTAGGTGGCGTGTCATCTCGTGCGCTTCTTGCCACAGACATGGGCATGCAGTGTCTTCTGACGAACTTCTCAAGGACTTTGCTGAAGGTTGTAGCACACGGAAGAGTTCCCCAAGTCTCGGGATTGTGCCTGGCTACATCATTTGCTGAAACAATATTGCAAACGTTGCTATTGCCGGAAGGGAGAGAGAAGAGTCATTTAACTTCCCGCCGTTTCATAGATGCAGCATTTCCTATTGTAAAGCTGTTGCTAATATGCGCTTTGAACAATGCTGGCATCTTCGCCACCCAGGCTCCCCTTTGTAAGCTTCTCCTTTTCCCATTCCTGTTCCTCCTCCTCCTCCTTTTTTTTTTTTTAATTGATTAACCTTTACAGCAGTAGGTTATAAAAATTGTGAATTGCATTTGTTCCTATTTCTGATAAAGGTTTTTGCATTAAGGATTCCTGCTCCTGGGGCAACTGGGTGGCTCAGTGGTTTAAAGCCTCTGCCTTCAGCTCAGGTCGTGATCCCAGGGTCCTGGGATGGAGTCCTGGGATCGAGTCCCGCATCGGGCTAGCTGCTCAGCAGGGAGCCTGCCTCTCTGCCTACTTGTGATCTCTGTCTGTCAAATAAATAAATAAAATCTTTAAAAAAAAAAAAAGATTTAAAAAAGGATTCCTGCTCCTTCACTAAGCTCTTGGTACAAAGGAAAAATGTAGTCCTTGTGGTCTTCTATATTCTATCCGTTGTCATGGTATTTCTCTAACTTTAATATATGGTTCTATCCATTGCATTTATGACATATAGAAAACCTTAAGACTATATCTTACATAATTATTACATTTGCTAGTAACAATGTGATATTTATAGACTTGAATATCCTGCACAGTAAGGCAGTAAAGCTACAAAGAAGCATCAGAAAATGATAGTTTCTTATCAGTACAAACATATGTTTATATATTTTATCTTCCTTTCACAGTAGAAGCTAAATATTAATCTCTGGAGAGCAATAATTATAAAATATATTGGTAAGAAATGATAAAATTATGTTTAACATTTTTATTGTGCTTTACATTTTACAAAGTATTGTCACTTACAATTTTAGTAAAGATGGCTGAAGAAATGATAATTCAATATGCCTACAGAGGCTTTTTTTCCATATAAATTAGTAAGAAATAAATGGGGCTGCATAAGACTTTAGGGTCTCTGTTTCTCATTATTTTGTGCCATCTTTAAAAATAAGCCATATTTGTTTGGGATACTGAAGGTTTTCACTCATAATAAAATATTCCTTACTAGTTGCACATAATCTTGATGCTCATAGTAAAATTGTAAGCAAAATCCATATTCCATGACATTTTATGTAACCCTCACCCAACATGAAGTGAAGGTGTAAGGATTAAAAGAACTAGTTAGTAATATTATACATTTAAAAAGGCATTTATTAGTGAGTTCTTTGCAGAAATGACAGTGGGGCGCTGCTCTGAAAGGTCCCTCTAATGTACGGAATAACACTGTTTCTGTACGCTGACATTTGAGAGAAGTGATGAGAGATGTTTAATTATTGATTTTTTTTTTTTTTTTTGGTCCAGCCTTTCTTCTTGTGTTGTTCGAATGGCATTTGTCTAGGTAGAGAATACTAGTGAAACACAAAACCGTTTCTGTACACCGATGCCGGGCTCTGTTTAAACCCCTCGGGACTCTCGTCTTACTTTGTGTGTGACTGTGTGTTGGAAAGACTTCACTAGAACCCTGCAAACGGTGATGTCACCCATAGCACAAGAAATGGGCTGGTATGTCCCTTTAGATAAGATTTTAAGAGGAATAGCCAGAGCCTTCAGAACTGTGTACAGAAGCATGAAATGGAATTCAGGAGCAGTGGTCTTTAAATTTCCAATAGTCTCTACATTTCCTGTCCTTTTTACAAACTTGAGCGGCACAGAATGCATTTCCATTCCCCATGTTGCAAATGTACTTGGCCGGCTCTCCGGGCAGCAACAGTCGCTCACTTTGCTGAGTAAGTCACAGGGCTGCTGGCAAGAAGAAGGAAAGATTTTCACTCTTGAGCATAAGACCAGATTTCCTAAATTAAATTGTTGTATCCTCATTGGAATCTTTATCCCACCAATGTTTCAAAATGCTTCTGGGGGGATCATTTTAAAATTGGTCTCAATTTGGATTCACCATTGATTGGCTACTTTCTCTCTTCCTCCCCTCACCACCAGCAGGTAGACGAACCTACAACAGCTTTTATGTCTATTGCAAAGGCCCCTGTCAGAGAGTACAGCCGGGAAAACTCCGGGTACAGTGCAGCACCTGCCAACAGGCAACGCTCACCTTGGCCCAGGTAAGGAGCTCTGGCGTTGGCAGAAACTGCCCAGAAAAACCGAATGTCTGTTTCCAGAGCTGCCTTTTGGGGTTGCTAATCAGAGAAGACCCATGACCGAAAATAAAAGATACTGCTGTGCGTTTGCAATGGTTAATGGGATCTGGAGTTTCACTTACAAATACATTGTTCTGTAGCACGTTAGGTAGTGCTGGGCCGTTGTCTCCATGCACTTGTCCAGGCCTCCCTAAAAGCATCATCAAAAGCGCGTCCATAACAAAAAGAGGTCAGGCTTTGGTGGAGGTGTATTTTAGAAGAGGCCGGGAAGGAGCCTTCTGAGACACTGGAAGTGTGTCATTTCTTGATGGGTGTGACCAGAATGCAGTTCGATACTTGTGCCAGAATCCACTGGACTGTTGATGGAAGACAGCGCACTCGAGATTGCGCTAAGTCCTATCTCAGTAAAGGTGTGAAAAGGAGAGTCGTGGACTGCCCACGGTGTGCATGTGAAACCGCGGCCGGCAAGCTGCCATCTGTGGTCTCCGTTTGGATTCTGCGGTTCACGAGCTAAGAATGTTTTTGCATTTTAAGTGGTTGGGCGATATCCAAAGAGTAATGCTGGGTGGCCCGTGAATGCGCTCTGAAGTTTAGATCCGGTCTCCGTGATGACGCCGTAGCAGAGGGCAGCGCCGACCGTCTCCTGACGTGTTGTCATCTGCGCGGCTTCCGTGCCCAGGGCGGGGCTCAGTAGTTGCCTCCCAGACTGGATGCCCTGCAGAGCCTGACCTATCTGCTTCTGGCTCCTTCGAGGAAACGTGATGGGCCCTGATATGACTCATGCGCACAGCTAAGGCCATGGCTTCCTCGTGATGGTTGTGTAGGATTTAGCTAAAGTTGATGCAGACGTGAATGTGCGTGAGTGAGGAGGGCGTTCTTGTTGGCACGATCAAAGGTCAAGGTCAGGGGTCTTCAGGTGATGGGGGGCTGAAGTGGGGTCAAGGACCCCCTTACTACCAGGCCCCTATGATGGCTTCATTTATATTTTTATTCCATAGGCAATGGGGAGCCAAGAGAAAATGTTAAAAATAAAGGCAATCTGTAAAATGACATTTTAGAACCTTTATTAGTGCTGTAACTGTCATTGGGACTGAAGTTGGTGACAGATTGAGGGCAAAGAGGTTAATTAATAGACACTTCCTGTGGTTCATGCAGGAGGAGCTGTGGGCCTAGGTCGGAGTGGTGGCCCATGGAAAGTTATAACAGAGCGGCGTGGAAGAACATGAAGGATACACACAATAATGGAGGAATCGAGGATCCTGGCCTCCAGCCTGGGGAAGATGGTAGAATTACTCAAAAATGCAGCCTAGTGTTTCACTATGATATAACCTCTCCACTACCCAGGCAAATGCTGGGACTGCACTTAGGGAGACAAAGCTTATGAGTGATGGATCCACTCAACCGGACCTCTTTCTGGGGGTGTCGCCGTGCAGTGCTTCTGTCTGGGAAATGTGCTCTTAAGGTCCTATAGAAGTTTCTCTTCCACTGGACTCTTTCCTCTGCCATAAGCCTTTTCCAATGCACTGAACAGCCTCTTCTGGTTTTTCTGGTCTGTGTTCCAGTCTCGATCACCTCACCACTTTGAATTGTTCTTAGTGAAAACAGTCATAACAAATTATCATTGAGTCCCAAGCTTAATTATTTTCATGCGTTATCTAATGTATTTATTTCATAACACTCTAAGGACGGTCAGTGACCTTATTTTAGATTTAGGCTTAAAGAGATTAAGGAAATGAGCTTGTGAGACTCGGGGTTTGAACTGGGCTGTGTGATCTAAACTTGTATCTCCCCATTTTTTTACCACACAGGTATGTTTGCACCGATTGTTGTATGCTCGGATATCCCCAGTGATCAGACAGCTGATTTAAGACTTAGGTCAGAAGGATGCAACTGGGGGGCAGTGAGGACCATGGTGGGGGCAGACCAAGGCCCAGGTACGGAGGCTGCTCCTGCCAGTTTGTTAGCAAGTGGTGGTTGGGGGTGCCTAACGTGGCCAATCTTTTATTTAATTAAGAGAAACCATAAATATGGATTTTTTAATGTGAAATTTCTCATGTAAGAATACACCCCATGTGGGGGGGAAAAAAAGTCAGAAGGCCAAAAGAAAAAGCAACCTGGAGCATCTGTCTAAATACACATCGTACCATACAGGTGAAATGGTGCGTTACCGTTAGGTGCTTGGAGAGCACCTTGTGTGTTGTAAGCACTTAACTCCAGTGAGTCATTGCTGAGAACTTAAGAAGACGACTCTCCAGACTCTCCATACTGCTTGGGTTAGAATTCCTACACCATTATTTCCCGTCTGTGTCAGCTTGGGGACATCTGTTACCTGGGCTAATGGTATCTACTTCTTATTTCTTGTAAAGGTTAGTTACTATATGAAGAGTACTTAGAACAGTGGCTAGAGGGGCGCCTGGGTGGCTCAGTTGGTCAGGGGTCTGCCTTCAGCTCAGGTCATGATCCCGGGGGCCTGGGATCCAGCCCCGCGTCAGGCTCCCTGTGCAGAGGGGAGTCTGCTGCTTCCTCTCTGCCCTCCCTCCCTGCACATGGGCTCTCATTCTCTCTCTCAAATAAATAAATAAATAAAATCTTAAAAAGAAAGAACAGTAGCTGGAACATCAATCATTAGATATCTTAAATGCTTTCTTGTTACTTGTTAAATTATTATCCATGAGTATTTAGCGCACGCACACACACACACGCCTGCGTGCACACACACACACGCCTGCGTGCACACGTTTGTGTCCTTCACCGTGAAATAATCCAGACTTGGGCTAACTCCTTTCAAAGAAGTGGAAGCATCTTCCCTCTGACGCTGTTTATCCAGAAGCTCGCGTAGCCCCCTCAGCTGTTCACTCAGACCCTCAGGTCCTTGCAGTGAGGATCTCATACCCCCAGCGGTCCAGGCTCTGTCCTGTCTCAGGGGCCCACTGCCATGACCACTCCGGGCTTTGTCAGTTCCTAGAACTGCTCTGCATCTGATTACGCAATGCAGACTTTTATTTTCCCCACATTATTTTTGCTCTGTACATTGTTAACCCCTCTCTCAAGTTCTTCTAGAGCTATCTGGCCTTTTCCTTCATCATTTTCTCCCCTGATAGGCTCTGACTTGAGCTACTTTATTTCAGATGTCGTTAAATTCCTGTTCCACGTTCTGTGCAATTGCCCATTTGTGCATATTCCAAGTGTCGGTAAAGCCTCTTGTACTGGAGAACTTGTGGGTTCAGATCTCTGGTGTCTTTTCAGCATGTCACCCAGTACCTTGCCCATAGTGGGGCACAAAGCAAATAATGGGAAATAAACGGTGTCAGTTCTTGAACCTTGACACGTGGATTCATTATATCCACATACTTTAGAAGCTATAGTTGGCATTTATAATCACATCATCATAAAAATTATGATTGTTTTGTTACCACTTATTGAGTCCCTTCATTGCGTTTATATTCTGGTGCTTATATTTTTCTCTAATTCTCATGACAGACCTGCAAAGTAGGTATTATTATCTAGTGGGTTTTTTTTTTTTTAAAGATTTTGTTTACTTATTTGACAGAGAGATCACAAGTAGGCAGAGAGGCAGGCAGAGAGGGAGGGGGAAGCAGGCTTCCTGCTGAGCAGAGAGCCGGATGCGGGGCTCGATCCCAGGACTCTGGAATCATGACCTGAGCTGAAGGCAGAGGCTTAACCCACTGAGCCACCCAGGAGCCCATTATCTAGTGTTTTTAATAAAGAGACTCCATGAAGTTAAGTAATGAACCCAACGTCACACAGTTAACAACATTGGTGCTAGGGATGGAAAGTCTTATGGGTTTCTTTAGAGCCCTGCATTTTCCACAGGTTCACTCTATAGATCTGGTAATTAGTGTCCTATTACCCAGCTACTTCTCTATACTTAAACTGTCCTTCCGAAATACTCTTGGTGGGGGGAGAGGGGTGCTACATAAAGATTTAAGGAGAATGGGAAAGATGTTTTAAAGAGTACTTATTTAATCTGAAATTTCATTTTATTTTGTTTAATCTTATTTTTTATTTTTTTTTAATCCAAACTTTTAGTATAGTTACTAGATGCAGCAGCACTGGTACACGGTGAATAAGTAGAACAGGCCCTTTGATTTTTTATCAATGACAGACATCCACACTTAGTAGTACCTTCCAGTAGCTGCTCTGTGGAGCTTCTGAATAATCTCGCGAGTCTGCAGGCTCGCGCTCGGCAGTGGGTGGGCAGGAGCTAAAATCTGCTGAGGAGAGGGATTTCTCGGTAGAGAATAGGCAACTCTTAGGCTTCTTTTTTTCCAACTCTAAAGAGATCTACAACTGACAGAATTTTCTCTAGTCAAGAAAAAAATAAAAAGAAGGACTTTGTGTGGCTGACAAGTTCCATAGCGGAGCATCGAATGGATGTGGTTTATCTGAGCTCCTGTAGGGAGCTGTTTATATACAAAGAGAAAAATCAGAACCTACTTAGCCACCTGGGCTATTTCTTTTTTTAATATAATTTTATTTCTTCTGGTCTGAAAAAAATCAGTCTACAATGGCCCTTGGCCTTTCATGACTCTTGATAGTAAACTCCTAATTTTTTTCTGTTGTTGTGGGGCACTTATTCGTAACGCCAACATTTCCTTAGCGCTATTTAAAATTTGTGTGCAAGATAATGAGTGGCCTCTCATACATAATGCTCTAAGGTTTAATTGTTTACATGTTTCACATTTAATTTGATGCTTCTAATGAATTGGCAAGGAGGACAGATAGCCATTTCTGTCATGGTGTTAGGGTGGGGAAGCTGATGTCCAAGGTTTCAGCTTGACCTTGAGAGTAAATTGAAAATCAGCTGGGACACCAGGTTTTCCTCCAAATTTAAATCAAACTACCTTCTTTATTTCATGGCGACCTTGACGAGTGTTTCCACTAACCAAAATAGCCCTTGCAAACATGAATGCTCACTGGAAAATAGTGAACAGCGGCTGATT